AATGAGCTGTGTTTGCACCATTGCACTCCAGCCTGGGTGACAGAGCAAGGCTCTGTCTCAAAAAAAGAAAATAGGACCATGGAATCAGAGGACAGAGAGAAAGAGGAAAAAAAGAGAAAGAGGGAGAAGGGGGAAAGGGAGAGAGAAAGAAAGAAGGGGACAGAGGAAGAGTGAGATATTTGAAGATGCTGAGCTGCTGTTCTTGGATGGAGAAAGGGGACACAAACCAAAGGATGCAACCAGTCTCTAAAAGCTGTAAGAGACAAGGAAACATTCTTCCCTAGTCTTCAGAAGGAACACAACCCAACAGACAACTTGATTTTAGGACTTCTGACTTTCAGAACTGTAAGATTTGTGTTGCTGTAAACTATGAAGTATGTGGTAGTCTGTTTTAGCAGCAATAGGAAACTGAAACATTTTGTTAAATTTCTTTAACAAATTTAACAAAATTTGCTTAAGTTCATTTTTTAAAATATTCTGTGTGAAGAAATACAGCCAGCCATTTCTGCTCCATACAATGGCTATCTTAAGGAAAAGCACACCTAAGATAGTTTCCATTGTGAGCTGATTTAGCCACTTTATTATTTTTTAAAAAAAAAGACTAACCAAGTGCTGTAGTTAGAAGAGTGGAAAAAGTAAAACAAGGAGTCTAATCTGTAACTGACTATGAACAATCAATTGAGATAACTCACTACCTTCAGAGAAGTCTAATTAAAAAAAAATGAAACACTGGGCCGGGTACAGTGGCTCACGCATGTAATCTTAGCACTTTGGGAGGGCAAGGTGGGTGGATCTCTTGAGGCCAGGAATTTGAGACCAGCTTGGCCAATATGGCAAAACCCCGTTGCTACTAAAAATACAAAAATTACCTGGGTGTGGTGGCATGCGCCTGTAGTCTAAGCTTCTTGGAAGTCTGAAGCAGGAGAATCGCTTGAACCTGGGAGGCAGATGTTGCAGTGAGTCAAGATCTTGCCACTGTACTCCAGCTTGGGCAAGAATTGCTTGAACCTGGGAGGCGGAGGTTGCAGTGAGCCCAGATCGTGCCATTGCACTCCAGCCTGGGCGACAAAAGCGAAACTCTATTTCAAAAGAAAAGAAAAAACGTTTAAGAATTACTGCTCAGTCTGGGCGAGGTAGCTCACGCCTGTAATTCCAGCACTCTGGGAGGCTGAGGCTGGCAGATCTTGAGACCATCTTGGCCAGCATGGTGAAACCCCATCTCTACTAAAAATACAAAAAATTAGCTGGGTGCGGTGGCACGCGCCTGTAGTTCCAGGTATTCGGGAGGCTAAGGCAGGAGAATCGCTTGAACTTAGGAGGCAGAGGTTGCAGTGAGCTGAGATAGTGCCACTGCCCTCCAGCCTGGTGACAGAGTGAGACTCTGTCTCAAAAAAAAAAAAAAGAAAAAAAAAAAAAAAGGAACTACTGCTCTAGCTTATTTCAGCTTACTCTCTGACATTCAATTTAGATGTTATTTATTTATTTATTTTGGAAGCTTTTCCTGACCAGCTGGCTTGGATGTAGGCTCCCTTAATAATCCTCTTCAGCTAGTACTAACAGCTCTTTTCAAGGCCATTGTATTTTTAAAAAATATAATGGTTTTACTGAGATAATTAGCATATACTGCTCACCTCTTTAAAATATATAATTTTTAGTGTATTCATACAGCTGTGCAACCATCACCAATCAATTTTAGAGCATTTTCATCACTTCCAAAAGGAACTCTGTACTCATCAGCAGTCACTCTCCATTTTCTCCCTAATCCTTCAGCCCTAGTAGTAGGCTGGAGCAGTAGCTCACTAATGTTGCTGTGAACATTAGTGTACATGCTTTTGTTATATGTTTTATTTTTATTTTTAGAAACAGAGTATATTAGTCTGTTTTCACATTGCTGTACAGAGCTGCCTTAGACTGGGTAATTCATGAAGAAAAGAGTTTTAATTGACTCATAGGTCTGCAGGCCTAACAGGAAGCATGAATGGAAGGCCTCAGGAAACTTAACAATCATGGACCAAGGCAAAGGGGAAGCTAGCACCTTCTTCACATAAAAGCAGGAGAAAAAGAGAGTGAAGGGGTAAGTACTACCCACTTTTAAGCAACCAGAACTCGTGAGAACTCACTCACTATATCAAGAACAGCAAGGGGAAAATCTGCCCCCATTATTCAATCGCCTCCCACCAAGTCCTTCCCCCAACATTGGAAATTACAGTTGGACAGGAGATTTGGGTGGGGACACACAGCCAAACCATATCACAGGGTCTCACTGTGTTGCCCAGGCTAGAATGCTATAATAGCTCACTGTAATCTTGAACTCTTGGCCTCAAGGCATCCTCCTGCCTTGGCCTCCCAAAGTGCTGGGATTACAGGCATGTGCCACTGAGTCTGGAATGGATATATGTTTTCAATTCTCTTGGGTATATACCTAGGAGCGAAATGTCTGGGTCTTATGGTGACTTTATGTTTTACAATTTTGGGAACTGACAGCCAGTTTTTCAAAACATTTTTGTTTTTTGAGACAGGGTCCTGCTATGTTGCCCAGCCTATAGTGCATTGACTTTTCACAGGCTTGATCATAGCATAGCCCACTGAAGCTTCCACCACCTGGCCTCAAGGGATCCTTGTGCCTCAGCCTCCCAAGTAGCTAGGACTGTAGGCCAGTGCTACTATGCCTAGCCTAAAGCATTTTACATTCCTACTAGGAGGGTATAAGGGTTCTAATTTCTCCATAGCCTTGTCAACACTTGTTATTTTCTGTCTTTTTGAACGTAGCCCTTCTAGTGGGTATAAAGTGGTATCTCCTTGTTTTTTTTTTTTTTTTTTTGAGACGGAGTCTCACTCTGTCACCCAGTCTCAAGCTGGAGTGCGATGGCGTGATCTCAGCTCACTGCAGCTTCCTCTGCCTCCCAGGTTCAAGCGATTCTCCTGCCTCAGTCTCCCGAGTAACTGGGATTACAGGCCTGCGCCACCATGCCTGGCTAGCTTTTGCATTTTTAGTAGAGATGGGGTTTCACCATGTTGGCCAGCCTGGTCTCCAACTCCTGACCTCAAGTGATCTGCCTGTCTTGGCCTCCCAAAGTGCTGGGATTACAGGTATGAACCACTGCACCCGATCATTTTGTTTGTTTGTTTGTTTTATTTTTTTGAGACAAGGTCTCACTCTGTTGCCCAGGCTGGAGTGGAGTGGGATGATCTTGGCACACTGCAACATGTTGCCCAAGCTGGTCTTGAACTCCTGGGCTCAGGAGATCTGCCCACCTGGGCCTCCCAAAGTGCTGGGATTATAGATGTGAGCCGTGGTTCCCGGCCTCCTTGTGTTCTTTTTTTTTTTTTTGAGATGGTGACCAAAACAACAACAACAACAAAAAAACAAAAAACAAAACAGTCATTCTTTTGCATGTGGACGTCTAGTTGTGCTAGTACCAATTGTTGAAAAGACTGTTCTTTCACCATTGATTTGTCTTGGTGTTTTTGTTGATGTAAATGTGAGGGTTATTGATTTATTTCAGGATTCTCAATTCTACTTGTTTATATTCTTATCCTCCATGAGTATGCCCGTAGGGCCACTGTTTGTGCCAGTAGGGCCATCGTGCTTTACAGAAGAAATTTAAGAAAAATCATTTTTTTCATTAAAAGTCATGTTTACTAATCTAGCACCATAATTCCAGTCTTAGAACCTCCTATGCAATTGGAAAGGGAATATGTGAAGAGGTGAGAGTTGGAGATGTAGGGTAGTTCTCAAATTGAGGCCCCATTTTGCTTGCTCTAAAGCCAAAAACACAGGTTCTAGCAAAGAAGAGGAGCCCAGTGGCTGGAGATGAAAACAAAAGCTTTTGGTTCAGATGGTAAAGGAGGCCCTTAAGAGCAGTAGAATCAGTGTATCTGGAAGGCAGTGCTGGAGGCATTCTCATGAAGTAGAGGGTTTCTTCTTGGCATCCAAGTCCTTTTTAATTTCTTCAAGTTTTTTAGCCAGGTTTGGTATGTCATAGTTCTGAGCCAGATACATTCCAACCACGTTGCCCAATGTAAATCCAAGCAGGAACTGGAACATGATGTTGGTGGGAGGGCCAGGAGGGCGCAAAGGGCTGCTGCAGCTCGGCGGGCCGGTCGGAGCCTGCTTCTCCATGCGCGGGGCGCGGAACCGCACCCCCTCCTCCTTTTTTTTGAGTCGGAGTTTCGCTCTGGTCGCCCAAGCTGGAGTGCAATGGCGTGGATCTCGTCTCACTGCAATCTCCGCCTCCCAGGTTCAAGCGATTCTCCAGCCTTAGCCTCCCTAGTAGCTGTGATTATAGGTGTCAGCCAACACGCCCGTCTGATTTTTGTATTTTTAGTAGAGACGTGGTTTCACCGTGTTGGCCAGGCTGGTCTCGAACTCCCGATCTCTGGTGATCCGCCCGCCTCGGCCTCCCAAACTGTTGGGATTACAGGCGTGAGCCACAGCGCCCTGCCAAGAAGAATCATTCTTTAACCTTAACGCAAAGCAACCAATTCAAGGGTTGGAATTACCCACCCCCTATTTAGAACTTTCAGCAGCGGTCTTCAGCATCAGTAGCCATCAAGATTGTGTTGGGAGGTTGATTTCTTGTTGTTTTAAATCACGGTCATGTGTTTGGCAAGAGTGCTGGTCAACGGAAAATGTTAGTTCTAGAGCTGGCATTCAAATAAACATATTTGGGGGTGGGAGGTTGATGAGCAAGGCTGGGAGGAGACAAAAGAAGTATCCCGGCTCAGTCGTCAGAGACGCGCAAGGTGTAATGGAGAGAGGAATCTAGGCTGTGAGTGGCTCCAAACACTGAGACATGGAGCCAGGACTTTTGCTCCTGGGGGATGGCCCTAGTACTGATGCGCTGGACCTAGTCCTTGAAAGAGCTGACAAAACTGCCGTTCACCCGCGCGACCACCGGCAAAGCAGCTCCATAGCCCGCCCCTCCTCTTGGCCGCTCCCCCACCCATTTTCCCGCCTTGTCTTTCCTCTCTTTCCTCTCTCCCTCCTCCCTGCGCGTAGCGGAAGTGACGCGAGGCGTAGCGGAAGTTACTGCAGCCGCGGTGTTGTGCTGTGGGGAAGGGAGACGGATTTGTAAATCCCGGAGCGAGGTTCTGCCTACCCGAGGCCGCTGCTGTGCGGAGACCCCCGGGTGAAGCCACCGTCATCATGTCTGACCAGGTACCGGGCTGGGAGCCATCCAACGGCGGTGGCCAGGGCCTTTCCTGCAGGTCTGCCTGCCGCTAGGCTGGGGTCGGGGATGGAGGCGCGGGGGAGGGGAGCGCGGAATGGGGGAGGGGGCGGCCGGTGGGGAGTGGGCAGGCGAGGGAGGGGAGCCGACTAGGGCCGGAGGTGCCAGGGCCTGCTGCGGGACTCCCGGAGCCGCCCGCCCCTCTCCGCCCCGCTCTCTCATCACCCCCTGTACCCCAAAGCCTCTGGTCGCGGCCTCCCTCATGTCGTCCCACTTCTTTCTCCCGGGTCGACCAGGTGCAGAGCCCCGCTTCCACCTCCCTGAGAGGGTCCCTGGAGAACCCGTCCATCTCCCTCCAGAGGACTGATCGCAGAAGCAGGGCCCTAGGCCTCAGTTATGTAACGGGAGAGAATCCCTGACTGGGAGGCTCCGTGGCCCTGAGAAGCGGCTGGACTCTCCACTTTGTGCTTCTTCGTCGGGAGGGCGTGGGGCGGCGAGGGAGGGAGACGTCCGATGTTGTTGGGAATCCTGCCTCCGTTCGGATTGGAGCTGGGGCAAGGATGCCGCTGCTCTTCTCTGAGTCTTTTTCCGTGTGGGGGTGCAGAGCTGTCGCCTCTTTACTGTACTTTCCCGTTTCTTACTCGGGATTGGTTCATCCTAGCTCTCCAGTTGTAATAGAGCATTTAGAATAACCAAGAAAGAAAATAGAACTAAACTGCTACAGCAACAAAAAGCATCTCACCTGGGCATTAACCTGAAGCAGGCTCATATTTTTGAGGAAAAGCATAGGAAAACTTTGTGTATGTAGAGTAGTTGCAGAAAGTTGCCTGGTAAGTCAAAGTGCTCCAGCTCACTGTTAGTATCAATAATTTACTTGGGATTTGCACTTAATCAGGAGTGATAGATTTTCCCTAAGCTTTTCTTCCTCATCCTGTTCTAATTAACCACCTTTATGGCTAGTTTTTAATTCATAAAGTTTTTGTCTGGTCTTTTGTTTGCTCAGACGACTTTGACTTTTTTTTTTTTTTTTTTGAGACGGAGTCTCGCTCTGTCGCCAGGCTGGAGTGCAGTGGTGCGATCTCCACTCACTGCACCCTCTGTCTCCTGGGTTCAAGTAATTTTCGGGCCTCCGCCTCCCGAGTAGCTGGGACTACAGGCACGCACCACCACACCCAGCTACTTTTTGTATTTTTAGTAGAGACAGCATTTCATCATATTGGCCAGGCTGGTCTCAATCGCCCTACCTTGTGATCCGCCCGCCTCGGCCTCCCAAAGTGTTGGGATTACAGACATGAGCTACCGAGCTCGGCCGACTTTGACTTTTTCCATTATTTTTGGACTTTTACTCGTTTAATGGTATTCAGAAAACTATTTTTCATTCAACTCCACGATGTACTTGAACTTTTAAATTTAACACACCTATTCCCTTGGCTTTTAACCCAGTTTTGTACCATTTGGTGAGAGCAAGTGAGGTTTTTGCAGATTTGTACTATTGTACAAAATGTACACTTAACATTTTAAAACTCTACCATAATCTAGATTGATTTTGGATGGATCTACTTACTAATAATCTAGATTAATTCCCAAATTGGCATTTTAAGTGTTTCCCTAGGTAGTTTTTTACTTGGTTACTAGGAAGAGAAGTATAGGTGTAAATGCTTAATTTCATCATCCTTTTATTTTGCTTCTCAGAAGCGTCTAGGAAGCATTTTGAAATTTATTGTAGACCGATGAAAGAGCAACATGAAGAAATAATTATAAAATATAGACTTTATTGCTCCAGTTTGAAGTCAGGTCATTTAAGAGAGACATAAAGAAATGAGGGACCTGGGATACAAATACATTCTTTTATTTCATGTTCATACTAGGACATTATTTGTCTTTTTCACTGTCATTCTTTTATGAGTGTTCAATGGACATTTCTAGAAACTAACATGACCTGTGATAAAACAAATTAAGTGTGGAAGCAGATGTGAAAATCCAGCTGTTTTTATTAAGCCAGACATTAAAGAGATTTGCAAAAAAGTGTAACAGTTCCACTCTTTCATTGATTTTGTTTTGAAAACTATTTTCAATAAAAATATGTATTTGTTAACATATAACAGATTTGTTGGTATTTTAAAATGAATTAATATTTAAGACATTTCCCAGTTTTCAGTGTTTAATACTGGAAACATCAATAGATGTAACCAACCTAACAAAAGCTTTATGGGATTCTAAATAAATTTAAGTGTAAGATTCCTGAGAACAAAAAGTTTGAGAATTGTTGCTGTAGGCTGATTGACCAACATCATTATTAATAATTAGGACTCGCTGGGCGTGGTGGCTCATGCCTGTAATCCCAGCACTTTGGAAGGCCAAGATGGGGGGATCACGAGGTCAGGAGTTCGAGACCAGCCTGACTAACATGGTGAAACCCTGTCTCTACTAAAAATAAATAAATTAGCCGGGTGTGGTGGTGCGCGCCTGTAATCCCAGCTACTCAGGAGGCTGAGGCAGGAGAACTGCTTGAACCCGGGAGGTGGAGGTTGCGGTGAGTGGAGATCACACAATTACATTCCAGCCTGGCCAACTGAGTGAGACTCCGTTTAAAAAAAAAAAAAAAAAAAGACCCAGTACATTGGCCGGGTGCAGCAGCTCACACCTGTAATCCTAGCACTTTGGGAGGCCAAAGTGGGAGAGGATTGCCTGAGCCCAGGAGTTTGAGACCAGCCTGGGCAACATAGAGAGACGTGGTCTCTACAAAAAATAAAGTTAGTCAGGCATGGTGGCCTGTACCTGTAGTCCCAGCTACTCAGGAGGTTGACATGGGAGGATCACCTGAGCCCGGAAGGTCGAGGTTGCAGTGAGCCAAGATCATAGGTCGAGGTTGCAGTGAGCCAAGATCATGCCCTGCACTCCAGCCTGGGCGATAGAGACCCTGACTCAAAACAAACAAGATCCAGTACAAGTTCAGTGTTGAGTGCTAAAGACTTAAAGAGTTATGAAGCTGAACCTTTAATCTTAAGAGGTTTATAAGTGAGAGCAAGAATCTCCAAATCCTGCACTGTTTAATATCAGCATGAGACTAAACCACTGTCCTAAAAAGAGAACCTTAATTTGAATCAAGTTATTTTAGAGTGATATATTTTCTGAGGCACCTCTCAGAAGGTTATTGTCTGGTGCCAAAATAGTGAAATTGAGTAATAAGGTTAAAATCGGTGGACATTAAATACACACAAGACTTCAATTGCTGGGTTCTCCATTGATTAATAAAAAATGATTGTTTTTGGAATTTGAATGAAACACTTCTTAATGGCTGAGTAGGGTGACTTACGCCTATAATCCCACCACTTTGGGAGCCTGAAGTGGGTGGGTCACTTGAGGCCAGGACTTTGAGACCAGCCTGGCTGACATGACTAAAGCCCATCTTTACTAAAAATACAAAAATTAGCTAGGCCTGGGGGCTCATGAGTGTAATCCCAGCTACTTGGAAGTCTGAGGTGGGAGGATTGCTTGAGCCCAGGAGGCGGAGGTTGCAGTGAGCTGAGATCATGCCACTGCTTTCCAGCCTGGGTGACAGAGCAAGACTTTGAAATCTCAAAAAAAAAGAAAAGGAAGGGAAAAACCCAAAAACCTTTTTTTTTTTTTTTTTGAGACTGGGAGTCAAAAAATTAGATACCACGCTCGGCTAATTTTTTTTGCGGGATTTTTAGTAGATGACAGGGTTTTCACCATATTGGGCCAGGCTTGTTTCTCGAACTCCTGACCTTGTGATTCCATCCCCGCCTCGCCTCCCAAAGTGGCTGGATTACAGCGCAGGGTGAGGCACCGCTCGCCTGGGCAAAAACAACACAACGAACCCACTTTTTATTTTAACAATTCCAACATCATCTTAGTGATTTGTGTACATTATTAAATAATCCTTTAAAACAAGCTTCTTAATCTAAATCTAAGGGGGCCCAGTAGGGCCATAAATGATCTGAAAGCTTCCCTTTACTTGTTGGAGTAATTTTTATGAGCTTATCCTGCCGTGCATATTAATATTATATTATTTTTTTTTTTTAAAGATAGGCATTGCCTCTATTGCCCAGCGCTGGAGTGCAGTGTGGGTTGATCTCGGTTTACTGCACCTCTGCCTTCCGGGGTTCAAAGCCCGTACTCTCCTGGCCTCAGCCATCCGTAGTAGCCTGGGAAATTATAGCGCGCATACCACCACACGCCGGGGCTAATTTTTTGTTTTTTGTGTAGAGATTAGGGTCTTCACCAGGGGCTGGCTCTTGAACTCTGAACCTCAGGTGTCTGCGCCGCCTTGGCCTTCCCAAAGCTGCTAGGATTACAGGTGTGAGCCTGGCCATATTTTTTTTTTTTTTTTTTTAGATAATTAATTGTATTTATTTTAATTTTATTTTTTATTTTTTTTTTTTTTTGAGACGGGTCTCGCTCTGTCGCCAGGCCCTGGGAGTGCAGTGGGCGACGATCTCAGGCTCACTGCAAGGCTCGCGCTCCCGGGGTTTTACGCATTCTTCCCTGCCTCAGCCTCCGGGGGTGTAGCTGGGACTACAGGGCGTTGCCCGCACCTCTCCGGGCTATTTTTTTTTTTTTGGCTTATCTTTTTAGTAGAGACGGGGTTTCACGTGGGGTTAGCCAGGATGTTTTTTTTTTTTTTTTTTTTCTCGATCTTTCTGACCTCGTGATCCGGCCCGTTCTCGGGCCCCAAAGTGCCGGGCATTACAGGCTTGAGCCCACCGCGCCACGGCCTTTTTTTTTTTTTTAATAGGAGAAAGGACCCATAGTCTTATCAGGGGTACATGATTCCTCAAAATGGTTAAGGACCATCCTTTAACCAGTAACAGAAATCTGATTGGGTGTTTTCCTTTAGCCCAGTCTCACAGAACTAGAAGCTTAATATCAAAAGGATAAGTGTAATTTGTACAAATATTTTCCCCTTCCTCCTTTCTGATATTTGAGTTTATAGTGTTTCTTTTTTATATCAAAATCATCAAAGGTA